AAGAAGAAGAAGAAGAAGAAGAAGAAGAAGAAGAAGAAGAAGAAGAAGAAGAAGAAGAAGAAGAAGAAGAAGAAGGAGTTTAGGATGGTGAAGGCAATGGAAGGTGCTGCTACAGTTAAGCCCCTGGTTCTTTATACCAACTATGACCACCAGTATGAAGGAGACAGACCAAGATCAATAATCTGATCAACTGATCAAATTATCCCAGAGGAAATCGGAGAATAGAAGATAACTTCCATGGCTGAGCGTAGGTGTGTACACTGGTATTCCCAAAATCCTTTCTAAAGGATTGCCTCCAATAAATAAATAAATAAATTAATTAATTAATTAATTAATTAAAAGGGCCAGTTGGAATATAGTTCAGTGCAAAGGCCCTGAGTTCAATCTCCAGTACTGCAGTCAATCAGCAGAGTGAGATGAAAGGGGGGATGAGGAGGGGACAGTGTGACAGGCGATGGAGATAAGCAAGACCACGGAATGGGGAGCAGGTATAGAACTAGAACAGGCCTTGCCCCACGAGCAGAGGTGTGCACAGGAGGACCCCTAGCCCTGTGATTGCTGACAGTGGGCGCTGCTGTTAAACTGCTCCACACCCATGTCTCGCCCGGGTCCTGCGTCTGCACCCCAGGCCAGGCTGCTCCATCTATTGGCCACGCAGGCTCCAGCAGGCGGCGCAGCCTGGGAACCAGTCTCTGCTCGGGCCATCACTGTTAGCCTCCCTCGGTCCTGGGTGACTGAGGCTGCTGAGGGTAAAGACCAGGGGAGGGAAGGCAGGGGAAAGGACGGCCACCAGACTACTCAGAAATGGCTCACCTTGGGGCCGGGGAGATGGCTCAGTGGAATAAGTGCTTCCCTGGCAAATGCAAGGTCCTGAGTTCAATCCCTGGTTCCACCAAGAAATGGCTCACCTTGCAGGGCCAGGAATGTGTCACTTGGGCTTACAGCTCTGTCTTCTCTGTCATCCTGAGCCAGAAGCCAGGGCAGTGTGGGGAGCTGAGCATGGAGGTGCACCTGGGAGGCCGAGACAAGGGGAACAAAATTTAGCGATGCTGGTTCTACAAGGCTTGAGGGGAAGAGCACCCTATCGCCCCCAGTGGCCGCGGGAGGAACTGCATCACTTGGCGCAGAGAGCGCTCTGCTGTCTCCTGGCAGGCGCGGGTGGGATTGCAGGACTAGGCCAGACGCCGCCATAGGGTAGGCAGCTAGCTCCTGAGCCCCTTATCCCTGAGTCGAATCACACTGGCTGAGGTGTGACGCTGTCGCTGCTGCCTGTGGCCTGGGCAGGATGACACCGTGTCTGGTCCCTGCCAGGGGAGAGGGTGACTAGGAAGCATAGCACCAAAGCTCTGGATGGCTCCTGGCTGGCTCCACTCTTCTTTTCCTCCTGCCCCTCACGGGGATTAAGGCCCTCAAACTCCACTTTCCAACAACTGCCGACCCCTCAAAGGGGGAGAGACTC